TATATATATATAGATAGATAGATATATGGTGCACAAGACTTATACATATGAACATAAAAAATACAAATGTTTTAAAATAAGCATAAATATTACCCATAAGTCTGAATTAAATATAAACTAAATGCTCTTTACCTAAGTAAAGCAACAAAAGACATTAAGAATATTAATTATGCCTTCCTTTCTTCTTGGGTTTTACCAAATTAGCCCTTACCTATGTCTGGCTAATCAGAAAAGAAGAAATTTTTCTCAATTAACAATAAAATATGCTTAATATTATTGTAGAAATTTTTAACAAGTCAAAAGGAATTACTAAGCACATAGTAAAATAAAACAAGCTCTCAATTACTCACATGAAGAGAGGAAGTGATGACACAGACCACACCAAAAATTTGTTTTTTCACATACATCATTAATTTGGAAAAGCAAATCACCTTTATACTTCTGCTTGACTGAATCCAATGTTAACTAGTTTATTTTTCTTGAACATCCAATGATTTAGACAAAAGGGATTCAGACAAAAGGGAAAAAGAGGGAATTAATATAGAAGCATACAGGTGGCTAAAACTAGTCAGCTTAGGGGAAAAAAAATTTGCACTTAACCAACATAGAAACTGAGATGATTTATAAAGGGAATGAAAAAAATATAGTAAAATTTAATCTGATAGGTAAAACTTTTAAATATAAAATTTAATATAAAAATTTTCACAAGATTTTTTTTTCCTGTCATCATTCCTTTTTCCCACTAATGAGTATTTGTGATACCAAGAATTACATGTGGGCTAAAATACTAAAAACAAAATTTCTGGTATACATTATAAAAGATGTGTTTAAAATCTTCATCAGTGTTTTCTTTCAGGCCCACCATCAATCTCAGTGGACACTTTATTACTTAAGAAAAATTAATTCAAACCAGCAAATAATAAGAAGACAGGACTTTTCTTGAAGATTGTTAGGTGATTTAAACAAAACAAGATGACAAGAGTTAGAGATTTAGCAAATACACAAGGACAAAATATTTATCCAAACACAAGATAAAAGCCACAAAACTCAATTTGTTTCTGCCTAGCATATGGCTCGAACTCCTGAGTGGCATATGTTTAGTTCTGGTGCTGATAAGAACACGGTGGTAAAATATTACAGAAAGAGTTCAACTGTTATTCCATTCTTATAATACAGAACACCAAGTTTGGTTTTAAGGACTAAGAACACAGACCACAGAAGGAAGCAAAATAATTATGTGGCTGTTTTAAAAGCCCACCGTGAATACGTAATGAGGATTATACTGTAAAAAGAAAACGAAAATCTCATCAGCCCGTTATTCTTAGTTAATAGGGGTCCAGAGGAATTTACATAAAATTTCTAATTTACGAATCCCAGCATGCCCAGTAACCATTACTGCCTCCCCCAATATCCCAAGGTTTCTAATGCTAATAGTTTAATAGAATGATTAACGACCAAGCTCGTTAAATAGTCAACGTTCGGCTTGCAATTTGACGTCGAAATTATCTGTTCATTTACCTTCACCTAATGCATGACGCCCTTCCAAAGCCGTGTCAGAAGTTCAAAGATTCAGGTTGTTAAAGAGGACGAGGACTGCAGCCGCCGGTCCACCGCCCGGTTGAACAGGTGGTTAATTCACCTGGAGAGAAGAACCTCCAGATACTGCCAGCTGCTGCACAGGATCAAACGCCGAAGGGCGGGTTTTCGAGGTTTTTAACCCTAAGGTGAGCCGAGGGAACGGCAGAAAAAAGACCAAATTCGGCGCTGCCCGGTGGCCAAAGCCAAGGCGCACCGCCCCCTGCGTTCGGAGTAGCGCTGTCCGCCGCGGGTGGCCAGGGAGGGGCGCGGGACCGAAGGGAGGGCCGCCGCCCCCCCCATCGCCACCCGCGGGGAAGGCGCCCCGGGCGAGACCCGGCCCCAGCAGGTGCCCCGGGGATCAGACGGGGCGCCTTGGGCCCGGCAGCGCGTCCGATGGAAGCGTGGGCTGGCCAGGCCCCCCGACGGAAGAGAGCCCAGCTCGGCGCCCCGGCCCTCTCGCCACCCTAACGGTTTCTGCAGCGCCTGTTCCGGGTTGGGACGGGGCTGGACGGCTCGGCGTCAGCCACCTTCCTAGAGTGAGTACCCGCGCCCTCACCTCCGAGTCACGCCGCGCTGAAGGAAAGGAAGGCGGCTCCCCTTGCGCCTCTTCTTCGGGTTCCTGATCGTCCTCTTTCTACCTCAGCGGCAGAACCAGTTCTCGGAGGGAGGCCGCCGCGGCTGCTGGCGCACAGACTGTTAGGGTCGTTTTCCGGCAGTGACGGCGCCGCCTCAGCCCCGCTCTTCTCTCCCTCTCCGCGTAGCTCCCGCTTTCTGTTTCACCCGAGAGACCACGAACGCTACCGCCGCCATGCTTACTACGGATCCGGGAGGAGGAGTCGGGAGTCGGTGCGCTGAGTGCGGCTGCGCGAGCCCCGCCGACGGCGCCCCCGGCCGGCCGGGATCCCCAACGAACCCCTGCCCGCGCACGCCGTGCCGCGGGTCTCTCCCCGGAGTGTGAGACCCAGCGGGGCCGAGCGTGGGCAGTCAGAGCGCCCGCCACGCTCCCCAAGCGCCCGCTACCTTCCCAATCCAGGCCGTCTCTCGTGGCCCGGCGGCTCCTGGCTCGTCGTCGCCCCCGCCGCGGCTAGGCTCTGAATCACCCCCAGGAAGCGAGTTAATTGACGTTCCGAGGTCCCCTCATTTCTCTATCCACGTTCTAAAAAGCGCCCCCTGAGACGCACCGTGTCGGCCCTTTTCGGCAAGCGCTCGAACTTCTTGCTGGCAGGTGCTTTGGAGGACACTTAACCCCCGGGGACTAGGAAGCCAACTTGGGTGGGCTCGTAGGTTTCCAGTCCCAGGTACACAGAGCCCGGTATCTTGGCAGCACCCCAAAATAATTTACTTCAGTTGAAAACTGGGATTCTTAGCTAGGCAGGTTTTGTAGAAACCATTACCTTAATTTTTACAACAGCACGAAGATAGAAGTGAACGAATGCAGGAGAGGTTTCGTTAAACCTCAAGCAATGGGGGGGCGCTGCAATAATGTCTAAGGCCAGTGGGCCTGCGTGCTTTTGCTGTTTCCTCCGGAAGACGGGAAGGGTAGTTTTTGAGACCCGGAGTGCTACCCCAGGAAATGTCCTTTGGAAAATGGTGATGAATGTAACCAAGCACCACGTTTGGGGTTATTTTAGTGTATTAACTGTGCGGCCTTTTCAAATGGCAATGTTTTAAAACTGTTTTTGCAAAAATTTCTATAAAATACACGTATTTCCCACATTTTTAAGGAATAGAATGGTTAATGAAATCCTTTTTGTTGGTGACTAAACATCTTATATGATAGCCTGGCCATCTATCCATTGAAGTCCCAGGGGACCCCTGAGTTATATAAAATTCCTACTTTGGTGCTTTTTTCTCTTTGTAATGTTCTCATCATCTTTTCAAATATCTATCACTTCTCATCTCCTCTTCTGCCTCTTTATCTACTTTGATCCTTCCTCTCATGCTTTCTACTTTGCTGTTTATTTTAATTTTTACTCCTTTTTCTTCTTTCTCTGCTGCTCTTTGCTATGGCTCCAGATGATGAGTAGTCAAGTATTTATATCCACAGCCAGCTAATGAGAGGTTCCTTTTCTTCCCATCGTAAAAATGACAGTGACCCTATATCAAATGGTATCTTGAGATATTTTCATTGCTCTTCACTATCGAAAGTTCTTTTCCCGTGAGAGAAGTTTCCGTTTTTTTAACTTCCACAATTGGCCTTTTTCCAGGCAAAATTGCTAGAGATCTATCTGATCTTGGAATAACTGAAGCTTAACTGTATGATTTTTTTTGTTTGTTTGCCCTTGCTTTTTTTTTTGGTACCAGGATTGAACTTGGGACCTTGCGCTTTCGAGGCAGGCACTGGAACCAGTGAGCTAAATCCCCTGACTGTAATTGTATGTTATTTTAAAATATAAGCCTTATCAGAGCATGAGTTCATTGACTTTTCCATATTGCTGCCTAGGCCTGTTTGGTCTGAGGTTAAACTAGTGGTTTACAAACTTAACTTTTAAGATAGTAATTTCTAAAACATGCTGCTTAGTAGCTTTTTAAAAATGCAGAATCCTGCAATCTAATCCTCAAAATTCTGATTCCTCGATGCAAGGGGTAGGCTAAGAAATAGCATTAAAAATAATCAATGTTTTAAAAAGTATGTTTGGGACATACCCACTAGACAGAGAAAGAACAACTATTTTGAAGGACAGTAGGGCATCTAGTTCAAGAATGTCGTTGAAGTAGACCTGAAGATTGCAGTATGATATCCAATGCTGTAAGATGGAATTAAGTGAGGATTTGGGAATTTATATCCTATGGAGAGAATGAAACATACACATACACACACAAATGACCATAACTTGGGCCCCCAGTGTAAGTTCTCCAGGTACACAGAGTGGAATAAGAATTTATGTTGGCTTTAAACAAGTCACCTCAATGCTTTATTTTTATTATCAACTTTCGTCTTCCCTGAGTGCTCAGCAATACTCAATACTTTGATCACAATTCTTTAAATGTTTCTTGTTGCTTTGGCACTGCATCTTAGTTTTCACCCTACTTTTCTGGGCACTGCTTCTCTAATTCCTTTTCAGATTCCTGTTCCTCTCTTTCCCAAATATAAAAGATCCTCAAAATTCAGTTTATATTTGTTCTTGTTCTTATTATAATCTTATAGCCTGTGCAATATCACCCATACCCATGGCTTTAGTTATCATATATATGCCTATTATTTCCACAGATATGCTTCTAGTCCAGAGTCTTCCCCTAAATACTAAATCTGATATGAACTGCTTCATTGACATGTCTTCTTAATGTCTCAGCGTTACAAAGTTTAGAACAACTGAATTTGTGATCTCTTTTTGTTTTCCTTTTCCCTCATCTATTCAATTTCCAGTCAAACATCTAGTAGTCATCCATGATGTCTCCCTCATCTTCCTGTATTTGTAGCGCTGTCGAACCCCTAGTTATTTTATCTCCAAAGTCTCTTAATAAAAGATAATATAAGTGGAAAGTCCACTTCTTTCCAATCATCATCAATCTATTTTGATCTATACAAATAATCTGCACCCTTTCATTCATTCTCCACTTTGCAGCCAAAATCATATCTTATAATGCAAATAGAACCATGTTGCTTGTTACATAAAACCTTAAATAGTTTTTCAATGTTCTAGAATGAGATTAGAGTTCTTAAAGTAACCTATTAAAACGTGGTATCTGGCCCTGTTTGCCTTTTCAGTCTCTTCTCACACTACTTTCCCCTTGCTTCCTGGGCAGAAGACTCCTGGCCTCCTTTTAGTTTCTCAAATGAGCTGTGATCCCAAGAGCTGAAGGTTCTCTGCATCTGCTCTTCTTCTCCCTTTGCCCATCATATCTCTTATTCACCCTTCAGATCTCCGTTTGAAAGGGACGTCTTTGGGAAAAACATTTCTGACTTCCTAGACAAGTTCAGGATTCCTGGTTGATGTCAGCTCTTGTACCACCATATACCTTTCCTTCATATGATTTACCACAGTTCATAGTTAAATTTTCATATGCGTGAATAGTGTGTCTGTTGCTCCGTTCATAAGGAGATCGTGTGTATTTGGCTTGCATAGTGCCTGTTACATAAGGAGGTGCCCAATAAATATTTCTTGAATGATTAAATGTTGTTCTTTATGGTTCCTTCTAGATTACTGGATCATGAAAGTAGGAAATTACTGATCACTTTCAAGAGAAAAATCTTCAGTATGAAAGATGCAGGAATGTGTTGGGAGATAATTGTTCATGAGATTCTCATAATTTTGTGTCTTAAGCTTTTGTTCTGGACTATCTTTTCTGAAATGTTTGTCAAACAGCTTTGGAAAATAGATATAGTGTCCTCTACCAGAACAGAGAGGATATGTGTTTATCATCCAGTATAGTAAAGATAGTATCTCATTCTGAATTCAAGCTTGGTCAGTTTTATTGCAGCACATTATAAAAGATTGGGAGTTTCCAAAGCTTAGGGATCCTCAGCTGTGATGTAAACACCATGTTGCCTTAGGTGAGACCTGAGAGGCAGGGAGACTGACTGAACAGGACACTAGTGCTCCCTGCCATATTATGAATAATGTTGGCCTTTGACCCAAAAGACCTGTGTCTTCTGCCAGCATCCACAAAACTATGGCAGGTTAAGTTAATAGCTTGCAAGGAGGATAAAATCTCAGACTTCACATTTGGTATGGTCTGGTGAGTTGAAAGGAGAGAAGGAAATAAAGGTGTCAAATAGCAAGGGAAGACATGTCTCTTAGGAAGTTTGGAAGAAAAGAAGTGATGAAGACCAGAGAGAACAGCAAATTGAGGTGGGGGGATTGTGCTGACTGAATTCTCTTAGCAAAATTGGGAATCCTAATTAAGCAGAGCCAAAAAGAACATGATTGCTAATGTCCCTCTCATTAGGTGCAAGTCTGGAAGAGAAAAGCATTTGACTTGGAGGTATAACTAGTTAAAGGAGCCAAAACTTTTGTTTATTTCTGAATAGTATGGTATAATGTGGATGAAGAGAGACTGGTTTTGAAATTGGGTAAATTTGGGCTTGAATCTCAGCTCTAGTATTGACTATTGACTATTAGATTAATCTGAGGCATATTATCTAATCTTTCTGAGTCTCAATTTCTTATCTGTATACTAGCAATAAAATATCTACTTTGCAGGGCCAGGGATTTAGCTCAGTGGTGCCACTGTCTGCCTCACAGGTGCAAGGTCCCCAGTACCAAAAAAAAAAAACAAACTTTGCAAGATTAAAAAGCATAATGCATAAATGCCTGGTATATGCCTAATGGCCAATAAATAAATGGTATCCATGTGATTAGGCTGTCCTGGATAGTTGAGGTTAGGGAAATCCAGGATCTTCCTGCACACTGCCAAGGAAACTTGGGAAGGGAATGGCTAAGGTGACCCTTGCTTCAGATTCCTCTGATGTTGCCATCTCCATCTCCAACTGTGCTTTTCCATGGATGGAATCACATATACCCTAGTAACAGAGGAAAGAAGACACAGAAAAGAAAGTAGCTTGACATTGATGTTAACCATTCCTACCACAGGGAATTTTTTCACTGGCATCATTGTCCTCACATCCCACCCTGTCACTATTTGGCTGTGGTCTTTCACTCTTAACAAGAACCTTCTCTACAATTTTTTTTAGTTCCTGGGACCCTTATAACACCCTTCCTTTAAAAGCCACCAGAGACAATTTACAAATTCTTGTTAATTTATTATTACTCAAAGCAGTTTGGCTCATTGTTTTCTGTCCTCAATAGCCATGGAAACTTAAGCTTTATTTCAAAACCAAGAAAGTCCACTAAAGTGATTTCCTGTGGTTCAAGTTTTTTATGTCGTTTCTTCTTTATAGAGAAACTAAGAGAAACTAAGGAATTCCTTAATCACAAAAATGATAATCCTAATAGCCCAAATTTGTCCATGTAAATGATATGGTTTCAAAGCACCCTGTAGGGGACAGTCTCACTTCCAAAAGGGAGAAAGACTTATCTGGTTACTGGCCAGGACTTTTGAATAGCTTTCCCATTTGAAGGGTCTACATAACAACAGAGAGATTATAAGGATTTTTCTCTAGTTTGAAAAAAATAAAGTTTCTATATCTGTCTTTGGAACTGTCAACAGCTCTTTGATGTTTTGTACAGCTTTAGGAGATAGCAGCCTTGGGGTTGAACAAATCATGATCGTTATCCAGCATAACCAGATGACATATGAATCAATTTTAAAGACAGAAGAGATAGGCATCTATAGGGATAATGAGGCAGAAGATGACCTGAGATTTAAAAACCTATTCTCAAAGAACCTGGCCTTTTCTCCCTAAAAAAAAGAAAAAAGAAAAAAAGCATATTTAAAAACCAGAGCAATACTTCACCAAAATAACAATGAGATTTCAACCTGGAAAAAAATGAAAAATGAAATTTAAATAAGTTTCAAAATGAAAATTCAGCTAATCTAAATTCACCAAACTTGAAAAAAATCTCAAATTTCAGATATAAATATTTAAAACAAATTGCATTTTAAAACTGCCAGATAAATCAATTATTTACTTATGATAGCTAGCATAAATATATCTGTAGAATAATTACTTTTTATTGTTTTAAAATATAATGTAAAAATGAAGTAGGCATTTATTTTTTTCTTAGGCATTTCTTAAATAAGGACAAAAACATATGGTGATGGTGAAAACTAGGGAAATCATTTATAAGTTGAAGAATTCTAATAAAACACTGGTTTTATTATTTCAAAAATTTTTTCTTATTTCAAATTTTTATCCATAAAGTTTTTATAAACCAAAGTACTTCTGAATTTTGACTTTATCTTCTCTTTGCACTATATATATATAGATAGATAGATAGATCACATAAACCCAATACTATTACATTAAAAAGATAGAACTAAATTAATTAGTACTAATAATTCCCATTACTATAAGAAAGAGAGCTTTGCATAAAAAAATAAAGATGACAAACAATTAGCTTCAAGTTAGGGAAGCTAATAGCCTAAGATATTAAAATTTTAAATACAACCCAGTTTTCCAAGCTACAGCTAGAAATAAAAAATAAAGTTGTAGTAGAAGTCTCAAAGGACATTCTCAAACTCAAATATCTTCTAGCCCATTCTGAGAATCCCCAGGGATTTTCACAGGTACACTCCAAGAATTAGGACTTCGTGAGACACTATGGCATTACCATCTCCCTCCTTTGTCTTATGTTTTCTTGTATTACTTCTAAAGCCAACAGAGTTCTCCCATTGCAATGTTCTCTACCAACCCCAGACTAAAGCATGGATTCCTGTGCCACTATATAGTTTTCCATAGGTACCAACTCCTATTGCTATTGTCTTCAGCTCCCGAGTTCCTATGTACATCATGGTAAAGCATTTAATTATATACTTGCTATGTTCTGAATCTTGTTTGCCCTTCACCTCTCAAAACTCATGCTGGAATTTAATTTACATTGTGAAGTATTAAGATGGTAGAAAATTAATCAGACTATAGTATTTGGAGATGAAGCCTTTGGAAGGTGATTGGGATTAGATAAATTCATTAGGGTGGAACCCCTATGATACAATCCTGGTAGTCTTGTAAGGATAAAGAGAGACACCAGAAGACACACATATACATGCATGTGCCCTGTCTCTTGCCATGTGATGCCCTGCAACCCCTCAGGACTCTACCAGCAAGAACTCATTAACAGACACACTCTCTTGACCTTGAATTTCCAGAAACATGAGCCAAAATAAACCATTTTTCTTTATAATGGACTCAACCTGTACTATTGTGTTATTAGCAACAGAAAATGGACTAATACAATACTGTAATTTTTTGGAGCTGTAGGACTCAGGCATCAACTCATGGGATTGACAACCTGTTCCACCATGTCCTTACCTCTAATGCTAGACAATTGACCTAAAAATGAACTTTTTATATCTCTCTTCACTTAGGATAAGTTTTTTTCCCCTCCCTCTGTAAATGGACCTTTTCTATGAGCTCTGTAGTCTAAGTTTAAAGTTGTGACCCCAGCTATAAAAACAGAACTTCAGGTGAGGGACTTGGATATTAATGAAATTATTTATTGTATTTATTTTCTTAATAACAGCACATATTGAACATTGTTGTTATATTAGGCATATTACTCAACATAACATAAGAGCAAATTCCTTTCTAGTAAGAATCTAATTTAAATTGATAATCCAAATTTGCTTCAGAGAGAAGTTTATTGTAAAGGAGAGAATAAATTGACAACCAAGAAATGCTTATAGAATACCTTTTGTGGTGAAGACCGTGTACAAAGAACCAATGCCTTGACATTAAAAGATTTCCTCTTTATGCTATTATTTATCTTTTTTTTGGTACCGGGGATCGAACTCAGGTCCTTGCGCTTGCAGGGCAGGCGGTGGAACCACTGAGCTAAATCCCTGGGCCTATTATTTATCTTTTGATCTCAGCTCCAAGCCTACCCTTTTGTACTTTTCTCTAGGATGCTTGGACTAGGTCTGGAAACTGTATTTCCCAGACTCCTTCTTGCTAGTGAGATAGGGACCACCATGGTGGGACAAAAGGCTGGGACAATAAAATAATCCCCTGGGGACAGTAAATCATTACGCCTTGTAGCATAGCATGTTGCTAATTTACTCTTGTGCCTTTTCAACCTGTCATGAGACCCTCATTAAAGCACAAAAACTGGATGTCTGCACAAAATGAAGGAATTGTTACTGAGAGAAAAACTAAATAAACCCTCTAGCTTCATTTGCCCATAATTAGCTTAAAGATCACTGATTTTAAAGGTCACCCAGAGGGGTATTGCATTATTAGTTTCTAGCTTTGTTATAGATACTACCTTTGATGTATGAGTTATGTAACAGTTGCCTAAGTTACTTCTCCTTTATCTGAAGACTGCTTTTGCTGAGAGCACTTGACTCTTCACTTGGGCCAGCAAATGTCTAATGGGTGACTAGAATGGGATAAAAAATTGTTGGCAGCTTCTCTTCATATTATGTCTACCCTTTGCTGGCTTAACATTTGGGTCAGATTCTATTCAGCTCTGCAGGTAGACATGTTGATGGCCCATTTGAGTGGATATATATTTTATTTTTCTCTTCTCTCCTTTTTTGCCTCGAGGTTTGTGCTTCTTCAATAGCTACAGGAGTCCAAGCACCTAAAATTCTTCAGCCCTGTTATGAGGCCCAGACCCACAAAGCTGGGATACATTGCACAGGATAATGGCAACACACACACACACACACACACACACACACACACACACACACATTCAATAGCCTCTATAACAAGTTGACTAGGACCATCTCGTGGTCCAAATCTTAAACAAGAAGAAGTGTTTTTTCAAACCATGACCCTGGCCAGTAGAAACTTACTGGACTTTACCCCATCTCAGCAAATCTATAAAAACTTGCTGGTTTCTTTGTTCTATGAATAACTTGGTCAGTGCTGACCCTTTTCAGCTGAAACCAAATTTGGCTGAAGCCCCCTTTCCCCAATCCCTGAAGAAAGCTTTGCCTGTGAAAATGTCTGTGCGCTCATAATATTTGGTTTGGTCTCATTTCTATTGCTTCCATGCCAAAAGATAGTATACAGTAAAACTAGGATTTGTCAATGGGAAGGTCTAGTACATTAAAGAGTGACTAGAAGAGTGATGAGTGAGACATGCTTTGCTCTCTATTTGCAGTATGTGTAAGTGTTGTTCCT